CAGAAGATCTGAGGGCAGTAAGGAAGGAGAAGAAATAAGTGGCCACTAATTACATGTTAGGGGAAGTAAGGACACGTTCTGTCTGTGTAGCTGTCAGTGTCCATCAAGGGGAGGCACCGGACCATGAGCTTTCTGATTGTGCCCTGCAGAGATGGGTGTGGTCTCATTTGCTTTCAGCCAGCGCCAGGAGGAGGAGGTGGTATTAGTTCCTGCCATTTATTCATGATCCACTGAGCATCAGGACCCCTTAGTTAGCACTGATATGATCCTGAATAATCCTATAGTTATCCTTCCTACTTTATAGGTACTGCCACTCTAGGAGGTTAAGTAATTTGCCTGTGGTTCTAAAGCCACTAGTGATATAGCTTGAGGTGAAAAACCAAGAAAGAGTGATGCTGAAGCCACTCAAAATTAGAAGCCATTCCATTAATACCTCTTCTTTGGTTCCAACTTCCTGGTCCAACATCTGTCAACGTTTATGGTTGAAGTGACCTTCTAACATTATTCCTGCCAGAACAGGTTATAACAAGGATCTTCAATGGACAAGGTGTGGCATTTTAGAAAGAGTGATTTGCAGTCCAAAGACGGTGAATCAAACCTTGCCTGTGTAATTTCATAGATATGGAAGTTATTTACTGTAAAAAGTTACTTACATTTTGGGAATTTCAATTATAATCATTCTGCTTTATTCTTTGGGCATCACTTGTGTTCAAGGGTTTTTGTGTGTGTGTGTTTTGTTGGTTTTTTTTTTTTTTAGAATTATAGGTGGATAATAGCTGCAGAAACTTCTTAGGAGAAAATGTTTTGTTTCTTAAAGGAATTTCCAACGGTAAGAACCAGAAAAGCTATTTTTTATTTTGCTAGTAGGACAGAAAGACAATTCTCTCTGTATCTAAAATAACCAGATAAAGGAAATAATGTTGTTCATAGGGACAAAAAGAATTGTTGATATGAGACAAGTGTCAATAGTCTTTGACATACAGCACTGGCACCAAAAGCTTCAACTCATCATTTCCACGTCATGTGTAGTGTCAGTACATTTATAAAGGGAAGGCTGTGTTCTGCCTACTATTCTTCATCTGAATCCTAGCCTAGTTTTGGAAAATGGCTGATTCTCATGATAGGGAGGAAGAATATTCCTTATGCTGAAAAAAGAATAATATTATCACAAGTAAAGTGCCATGGACTTTGGGAATGAAATTTGCTATGAAATGGTATTCTTGAGGCATCTATTCCATTGTGGTAATTGTCACCAGAATCATTGCTTAAAAGACTGAAAGCAAAGCTCAGTTATCTGAAAAATCAATGAAGAAAACAAGCAACTATTAGGAAGTACTAGCTTGAATATGAAAAGCACAAATTGAAAAACATAAAGTTAGATGAGGCCATTGACCACCTTAACACCCTGCCTTTATGGATATACCCCTGGGCATGATATACAGTTTGCAGTTTTCCACCTTTGTGAATGACAGAAAGCTTAGAAACTAAAAATGATTCAAATTAGAGTACTCACAAGCTTCTGCACTCATAAGTACTGATAAGATCCATGGTTCCCAGAAGTGATGGTTGAGAGGCCAAGTGCCCCTGGTCCGGCATCAGTCTTACAGGTATGAATTAGTTAACAGGAAATTTGGTAGAGCCACCCAGAAGGACTTAGTAGAAATTTGCTTTGCCTGTTTTCTAATGACTTTATTTTTAAAATATTTTTTATTTATTTGACTGTGCTGAGTCTTAGTTGCAGATTTTCAGGTTTCACTGTAGCATGCAAAACCTCTTTGTTCTCAGCAGGCGGCAGGGAACTCTGTTTCATGTGGGATCCAGTTCCCTGACCAGGGATTGAACCTGGCCCCCTGCATTGGGAGCACAGAGTCTTAGCCAGTGGACCACCAGGGAAGTCCCTCTAATGAACTTTTAAAAAGGAATATGCACTTTGGAGTTTTCCATTTGTTGAACACTTGAGCTAAAGTTCCCTACACATTCATTGCAATGCATAGTCAAGAGCAATAAAAAATACACAGGTTTTTTCCCACCAGCTTATTTGAATTACTCTTTGTTGCACCTTTCTAAAGTCGTAGGTTGTTTTTTGTCTCAATAGTGGGTGGTAAATGAATGGGATTCAACAACTTCAGAATGGGACTGGAGGTAAAACTAGAGCCCTTGAATCCTGGATTAGAATCCAGAGATGCTCGGCAAAAAAATCTCGTTTCCCAGCAGCTTTATAATCCAAAACATCTGTTTCTATATTTGGCATTATTCCACTTTTTTGTTCTTAAAATTGTTCCCATCTTTCAAAACACTTTAAAAAATAAAGAAGTCCCCATTCTGTCTCCTCCTTCCATTCCCCAACACATGCATTTGTAATTACCTGGTTTAGTCTGTGTGTTTAATCAACTTAAATTGAGACGGTTACCTACATCTGATTTCAATCTGAAGGAGCCCTTGAGAACCGGGCAGTCACGGCCTCGTGTCTGCCAAGATGTGACTCTGCCAGGAAACAGATAGGACTCACACCAGGGTATTTCCTAAAGGAGCCACTTGACTCAGATTAGATGTTTAATTTCCTTAAAATACTGTTTTGGATCTAGGTCTGTGTTCTCTAGTTGGGATTTTCTGATGTAATTTAGGAATTTCACTTATTTCTGAGTTTGTTCCAGGATCCAGCTGGCATTGTTCGAAATGCCTAAAGCTCAGGGAAGTAAACACCCTGAGTGCTGAGTGTCATACCTCGCTGCTCTGGAGGACGGGCGGGCCATGTTTGTTCAGATCTCTGTGCACCATTGTCCATGCAGTAAGATTGAGTTAATTTTGAGAGAGAAGGGCTTCTGGTTATGGTCTTGAAGCCTCTGATCAGAGGCACATATTTTTTGAGAAAAAAGTTTAATTTTCCCGGGAAAATTAAACTCCACTAGAAAAAGATTACTTTGTTCTGGTATTGACTATTAATTGTAATTAAATTTTTATTTATAACCTTAACATAGAAATCAAAGCTTCTAGATTTCCTTAGCTATGTTCACTTGAAACACCTTCTACTGGCCAGACTGTAAGATCTTAAAGTTTTTATTTTTTCCTCTTCATTAGGCTATCATTTCTGAGTGGTAAAGAAATATGAACACAGGACTGAGCTCTTTCTAAACGTTTTATGCTATCGTTCTTGAGTTTATAGGCTTCAAGGACTTGAAAGACTTTAAGAGCCCTTTATTTGTTAGCCAAATTAGGACAAATGCTATAATTTCCTTAGTGTATTTTGCACAGTGGTGAAAGCACACAGTCCAGGGTGATGAGCTGACATTCCACTGGCGCATTTTTCATAGGCTCAAGAGCCCACTTTAACCCAAACCATCAGCATGCTGAAAGCAAAAATAATCACAGGAAACACAGTGGGGAGATTTTTTTCGTATCCACATAGATCGGGGCTTTAAAAAACTATATTTTAATTGTGTTAACAGCCACATACCTTCAGTTGGTTGGGGTTACCAGATTACAGTCAGAAGTTTTTTTGGCAAGAAAGTAAAACCAAGGAAAATAAAGAATAAAGGGATGAATGGTACAGAGCTAAGATCGCAGGATACAACATTGTATATTGGATGGTCTTGCCAAAGGAGGCACAAGCATCTCAAGGAGGCTTCCTGAGTTCCCCCTGCCCCTAGAAAGGCCCTTAGGGCCCTGCCATCGTCAGCGTGCTCCCCGAAGCTCCCCCGTTCCCCGGGATCTGCCCAGGCAGGGGCTTTTCTGTCTAGTGCACTGTGCCCAGCTTCATGGCGTGTTTATCTCAGAGGCAGCCTCATTTCTGCTTTTCTCACTGCTTGGAAAGCACCAGTGGAGACTCGCAGTAGGCTTGCTAGGGTGCTAAAACACTAGAGTTTTTAATTTCCTCTGCTTTTCTGACTGCTCAGAGCTGCTGAGGTACAAACAAGCTTCAAAGGAACTCCATCAGCTAGAAAGCAGTATATGAAAAGAGAGTTTGTTGTTTACCCAGCTTTAATATTTCTGGTTTTTTTAAAGCCAAATTAGGTGATCTGATTCTCTCATTTCACAAATATTTATTGAGCACCTACTATGTGTGTGTGTGTGTGTGTGTGTGTGTGTATATATATATAATATATATGTGTGTATATATATATATAATATATATGTGTGTATATATTATATATATATATATATAAATCAGGTACTGGGTGCTTAGAAATATATCAGAGTAAAAACAAACCAAGGATTCAATCTCGAGGGAGCTGAAGTTAACAGGAATTGTTTTTAGACTTCCCTACCATTTGGTGTTCAGGTACAATGAATAATTAATTGCAGTAGGGAGAACTAAATGCGTGCCCCACTCTCTCATCTGTGCTGGAACAGGGAATAGAATCCTCTGTCTAGTCCACTATATTCCTTTGAATCTAATAGTTCAGTTCAGTCACTCAGTTGTGTCCGACTCTTTGCGACCCCATGGACTGCAGCACGCCAGGCCTCCCTGTCCATCACCGACTCCCAGAGTTTACTCAAACTCATGTCCATTGAGTTGGTGATGCCATCCAACCATCTCATCCTCTGTTGTCCCCAGAGCATTATCATAGTTCCTTTGTGATTCCTATTAGTGTCTAGAAAGAAGAAGCTTCCGCCAGGACTGGTGCCTTTGTATCTTTCCATGACGGGTATTCGCATTAGGAGAGGAAAATTCAGATGTAGCAGTTGTTAGTATGGGTGAACAGAAAATTTAGATGCGAAGATACTAAACCTAAAGAGAAGGAATTTTACAGCAAAAATGGGAAAGAGTTTCAAACCAGTTTGTGTAGATGTCTTAAGAGTTTGTGAAGTCTGGGTACTCACTGCACCAAAACCTGCATCTTCAATGTGTTCAGCGTGTGTACAAATACACACATGGATTTTTCATTCTCACAGTTCTTAAAAATAAGGGGCGAGGGCAGTGCTGCCTAGTTGCTTTCTCAGACTTTGGCCCGGTCCTGGTGCTAACTGGAGACGTCCCCCTCTTCTGCCTCCTCCCGCAGAGTTGCTGGAACTGCGGCCGGAAAGCCAGCGAGACCTGCAGTGGCTGTAACACGGCCCGGTACTGTGGCTCCTTTTGCCAGCACAAAGACTGGGAGAAGCACCACCACATCTGTGGGCAGACCCTGCAGACCCAGCAGCAGGGGGACACGCCCGCCGTCAGCTCCTCCGTCACGCCCAACAGCGGGGCCGGGAGCCCGATGGACACGCCACCGGCGGCCACCCCCAGGTCGACCACCCCAGGGACCCCTTCCACCATAGAGACGACACCTCGCTAGACGTGCACTCAGAACTGTCGGAGGAAAGACAACACAACCAACGCGAAACCAAGTCCTCATCCTCAGATGCTCAAAGTTGTTTTTTTTTTCCTTTTTGTTTTCGTTTTGTTTTGTTTGTTTATAGACGAACTATCCTGGTTCAGTACTTTCAGCAAGAGAGAACCTAACTGTATCTTGAGGCGATCGTAAAACAGAAGGCCAGTAACGGGTCATAATGACTTATTGTGGATAACAAAGATTTCTTTTCCTTAGAGAACTGAAAAGAGAGCAGAGAATATAACATGAAATGATAGATTTGACCTCCTCCCTGTTATTTTCCAGTAGCTGGGATTTTAAACTAGATGACCTCATTAACCGATGCTTTACCAAACAGCAAACCAAGAGATTGCTAATTGCTGTTGAAAGCAAAAATGCTAATATTAAAAGTCACAATGTTCTTTATATCCAATAATGGAGAAAAAAAAAAGAGGAAAACCCTCAAGGGCATGAGCGTTGGCTACAGCAGTAGACATTTTAACAAGAAGATGAATGGCATCCGTGGGTTGCTAACTGAACTTTGAAGACCCGCTACATAACGCGCAGATGTGTAGCATATTGGAAGGAGACACAGATGTTCGGGGTTTTTTTTCCTGTTTCTGAAAAGAAATAATAATATCCAGGTCAACAGAAGGAAAAATGAAAGATGATTTTGCAGTGGGATATGTGAACACAACAGCAAGAAAAAAATGCCATAACACAAAAGGCTCCTTTATATATATATAAGTATATATACACACACACACAGAAGTAAGAGACTCAGCCTGCAGTTATTAGCATCCTGGCAGCTTTGACACCAGCCAGCTGCTGCTCTAAACAACCCTCAACGTTTCTTCACTTTTGCAAGGTTCCACAGAGCAAGACATTGGGTCTATTCCAGCTCATTCATTTTATATTGAAAAATAATTTTTAAAAAAATGGTGGCTCCAGCTCCAGCCCCTTTCTAAATTTTTTCAACCCTACCCTGTTTGGATTTTTAATTAAAAACTAGTAGTTCTCTTGGTGTTAAAACACTTCTGTCCTGTGAGGTTTCCCAATGGTGTTTTTCTTGTAAACGTGCTGGACGACTGTGAAGACGCGTTGTAGTTTAACCACGTGCCCACATTTAGTCTCTTTATTCCTAGTTGGTGAGAAACCTGTATCTTTCTATGCTGCTTTTATATCTGTATGTATTAGTGGTATTTCTCTAGTAGTTAAAAAAAAGAAAAAAAAAAAGACTTTTTTGGTTGTCCTCAAGAAAAGAAAAAGGCTATCTTTCGGAGCTGCTATTTCACTCTCTTATAGGATTTTTTTTTTCCCCTGAAAACCAGCATGCTTCACGGAATGCTAACATATTGGTGTTTTTGTAAGAGGGATGTACATAAATGTATTTTGCACTGTCACAATGACTCCCTAGGCATGCTTTTTTTTTTTTTTTTTTGAGCAAACTTTTTAAATATGCTAGATCCATTCCACCAAGTTTAGCTGTAGCATAGAGTAGTAGTGGATTTTTTTTTCTTTTCTTTTTTTTTTTTTTGATGAAAAATCATTATTAGGGACTTTTGAAAAAATAACAAGATATCCTACTTTAAAAAAAAAAAAAGACAGTGCATGTGTATCTCTGTAAGGTTGTTTAAGTATTTCTAATTTTACAAAAAAAAAAAAAAAAAAGATAAATCATTAGAGCTCCAAATGCTGAGGTGTAGACTGACAGCTTTAACACTGCTGAATGCCAGGTTACACAGTATTCTTACAAAAAGGGAAGTCAGCCAAAGACTGATCTGATGGACCAAAATTGGAATTTTGAAAAGCACCAGTACTACTTTCCAAAATGATCAGCAGGTTAAATATGTTCAGCAAGGTATAGTGTGAATCCATTAACCCTTCGTCGTCCAGGGTCCAGACCAGAACTACTTGTTAGTTTTGAAAATGGTAGCCCAGAATGTGGTTGTGTGCTTTACGGAAAGTCGGCAGTGCTGCAGGCTGTGGAGACAACCAAAGTTTTCAAAGCTGGGAAGACACTACGCATACATACACACACCAGGCATTTATTTAAAGTCTAAGGTGGTCCGTTAACCTGGGTTTGCTTTTGTTTTTAAATAAAGCCTTTGGATACAGTTTTACATGGCTTTTAAATATCTGCATGGAGGTAATCCTAAAATCTCTTTAACCTAACATTATTTGCATTTCCCCCTGTATTTTCATGTACAAGTTGGCTTTAATTTTGTTCAGGTGGTGTTTTTTTATTTTTGTTTTTTCCCAATGGCTTTTTAGTTTAGAAACTTCTGATGAGCAAGTGAATACATCTATCCACATGTTGAAAGTCCATCTGCCAGCACACCTGCTTAAAAGTGACATGAAAGCACATAACCAGGCTCTGAATGGGTTATATTTTATCATGGTGCTCCCAGAATCCTTTGACCTCACTCTGCTTTCTAGTCTGCTAATGACACTGGACAGTCCTTTCTTACAGAGCTATTATATGTTCTAGGCTACGAAGGGTTAAATAATCCCAAAAATGAGGTATGTCATACCCACACGTCTTTATTTCTAGAAGCTGTGATGTATGTGAAACAGCACTGTTATTCTTAACACTAGTGTGTAAAATAAGGATTTAGTACAGTACGTCTCATTACTTTTAATTCAGGGCACCCTGAGTGAAAACAAATACAAAAAAAAAAAAAAAAATCCCTAACTCTGAGCTCTATCTCGAATCCCTCTTCCTCCTTCCCCGCTTCCTCCTCCTCGTCCTCCTGTTTTGCTACATTCTCCTCAGTGGCAAAAAGTTTCACTCTACCTCTGACAGCATGTATATTGCACCAGTAGCTAACAAAAACTGGTCTAGTCAAACCAAATGGGCACAAAAGAACCAGGAAACCAAAAGTTAAGTTCATACAGCTGCGAACCATATCACTTCTTGGTAACAATGCAGACCTCATAAACCTAAAGAAGAGAAAGAAAAGAAAACCTTTTGTTACTTTCCTTTTTTGCTTGTCACTTATATACAGGCTATGTGAGAGTATAATTTGTAGGTATAACACATTAAAAAAAGAAGTTATCTTCATTGGATAGAATTGAATGGTGGTCGCTGATAGGAATAGGGCGTCCTCGGTCTCTTATCTCTGTCTCTGACTCTTTTCTCTTTCTCTTTTTTCTCTGTCAGGAGACTGTGTGTGACAGGGCCACCTGTCTTTTTTTTTTCTTTCCTTAACTTTTTTTTTTTTTTTTTAAATGTGTAGGTGCATGTCTTGGGGATTTAAAAAAAAAATTTCAAGGCTGGTTTTCTTATGCAAAGCATGCCTACGTCTGGAATACTTAGGGAAAGAAAGCGACTCCATGTTGTCCGAATTCCTCAAGGGACAGAAAAAAAATTGGAGACTGTCGAAATGCAGATTTGAAGTAATTTTTTTTTTAAATATTATTTTGGGTTCTGCGACATTATTGTGAAAAATTAAAGTTGTTGTGCAATACTTAATTCAGACATGTACCACAAGTTAATGGTAGACTAACACTGGGGGGGCGGGGTCTAGGCATCATGCTTTTGTCAGCATACTCTTGAGCTTTGAAGTCTACTATGTCTGAACTGTGGTTTCTTGTTTATCCTTTTTTTTCCCTTAGTTGGACTGTAATGTATGGTCTGTCAACCTGTGAATCTTTAAAGTATGATTCAGGTATTGTTGTATTCTTTACTGTGTAATAAAAAAAACTTAAAAAAAAAATACCTCCTCTCGCCTCCCTTATCATCAGTGTCTGCCATTGGCTGTCCACACAGCGGCTCGGGCCTGAGTGTCTGTCTTCATCCTCCCTGGTGCTGAGGCACATTGGAAGGGTTTATTCAGCCCACACAACGTGCCTCTGTAACAGGAACTGACTCCCATGGTTGATGAATAAGCCATGATGTCAGAACAGTGCCCGCGTCAAGGTGGCTCAAGGAGATGTTTACCCAGGCAGGAGGTGTTGGAAGAACGGGAAGAGAACCGCAACCTTCCAGAGAAAAGGAGTGTTTGGGTGGCTTAGTTGAGCTGCTGCGTAGGCAGGGCAACCAAGGTCTTTTGGCTGCCTTTTGACAAAATTAGAAATGAGTTGCCTGGTTCGACTGTGCCAGAAAGACACATCCCAGCGTGGTGAAGCTCCGGCTCTTAAGTGCTCAGCTCCTCCTGGCAATGTGAGTGGCAGACCCACTGTTGCAGAGCTTGCTTCCACCTACCTTGTTCTTTATCCTCTGAAATCTGCCATCCTCTCTGCTCGTCCTTTTGTATATTGTTAAACAACTTCTGTGGCAATCTCTGCCTTTGTTGGGAGGTCTAAACTGTTCCCTCTACTAACGTGTATTTTTTTTCGTGCTCTCGTTACAAACTCAAGGTTTGAAGCCCCCACCCCTTCTCCCTGCAGCCCATGAATCCTGTAAATGTTTATGTATCATTTTCAAATCACAGGATTTTGATGTTGTGTGTTTTTTTTTTTTTTTGAAATTATGTACTGTGTTGTCGCAGGACTTTCTTTTCCCTCAACTTTCTCGAAAGGTTCTCAACTTTGTGGGCTGAAGAATAGTTGCAAAGAACAAGAGGACAGAGTCCGTGAAAGAGCCTGTGTCTGGAGAGAGTGAGTACTGGTTAAGGGGAGGGCGGCTTGAGACTGGCCATTCAGCTTCCTCCCTGTGTCAGCTGGGTCCTCGTCCCAAGACCTAGCTTCTCTGACTTGTCTTCCTGGGATATGTGCCTTTGTTCACATTTCTTCCTCCAGAAACAGACAAGGGAAAAAATGCAAAAAAAAAAAAAATTTGTTTTAATCAGTAATGGATACCTCCTCTACAATTGTGATAGGTAGGGTTAGACACTTAACATAGCAGTTAATAAATTATTTTTGCAAAAGACAAGCCACCCTGACCTAAGGTGCCTACCCTATAATGTGTTAATATCTTTTTTTTTCTCTTAAAAACCGAACAAGATAGCACCAGTAGGTAAGAACAGAAATGAGACTCATTG